GGAATTACATGCTTATTACTGAAGTGGGATCAATGATAACCTTGTAGTATCCTTATTATTATTATTATTATTTTTAGAAAAAAATTATATATATATATTAGTACAAAGAAGATCTTCCTAATTTTGCAGACTAAAACTATTTTGATGTCCTAATAGTAAAGTACCATGAATTGTTTATGAGATAATCATATTAGTTTGCTTTAAACCAGATTGAAGTGTTCCCACATAAATTGTCAACCAACCAAAATTAATAAAACTAAGGTTATGTTTGGATAGCAAAAACTAAAGAGAATGAATGATAATTTAATAAAATTGTTGTATCAATATTATTCAAGTGTTTAGTTTAGATACAGATTTTTATAGTTAAATATAAAATTTTAAATATCGTAAATAAATAATCAATCTTATTTGGCTGTATATATGAGGGGTCAAAGTAGTCTAATTAGTTAAGTTTATATACTCCAAAATCAAATATGTACAATACATAGCCTATATTGATTTGATGATGATAATGAAGAGCAAATCAGTTTTAGCTTCAAAATTGGTACATGGGTTAAAGGTTATGTGATCTGAGTAGCTTTTAATCATTGTTTTTTGCTATATAGTTCTAAAAAAATTCTTAAAAAGTCCAACCCTACAAATTAGAAATATTGATTGTTTCATTAGCTTCTCAATTAATTATTCTTTTATTTTGCTAATTTGTCAATTTCCTTTGCACATCATTAGTTTATCACCACGTTTCATTATCATCGTCACAAGATTCTCCTCGATTTGTTGTTATGCTCTTCACAAGCCTAACCCATTTTTTAGTTTTTTTTTTTTTTTACTAATAATATATGGTAATGCTATCACCAAGAAATGTTTACTTAAAGACTAAGAACTTGTCATATGTAAGTTTCAAAATTTTTAAAATTCTACATACTTGATTGTCTCAATAATCTAAGTTTCTTAGAAATATTTGCTAGTTACACTATTGAGTTATTGGTGATATATTAGTGTAAACATTTTGATTTTCTTTATTTGATGTAATTAATGTCATGACTATGAAATGAATCAAAATTATTTAAGTTCAACTCATATTTAACATGTTAAAGGCTCATTCAACATTAATACATATTTGGAAATTTTTTTTTTATTTTAGCTCAATAAACTAATAAATATTTTAGAAATATACATAAAAAATATTATTTAAACTCACTTCAATCAAAATTCATTTGATATTGACTTGAAAACTAAAATTTAAGTATAAGAGCATCTCTAACCGTTCACTTCTTTTTTTCACCAAATTTGAGTAAAAAATAGGTTGTTTTCTCAATTTGATACGGCTTCCTCCAACGGTGAGCATCAAACAAAATTGAGAGAAGGGTCGACCGGTAAGACTATTTTTTTTTTAAAAACCTGTTGGAACCTTTTGACCTGTTTGAACTTACCTATTTGAAAGGGAACCGGTCGACCGGTTGGTCAACCGGCCGGACAACTGACTGGTTGACCGGTTGGTCTCCCCCAACGGTAAAGCATAGTAAAATAATGAAATCTGGAACATGTTCTCACTTTGATGAATTTTTTGTTTTATTCTCATTCTGATACAAATTTGCTAAAATCATTGGAGCTCCAAAAAGTAACTTTTTCACCAAATTTCAAATTTGATGCAAGATTTGATGAATCGTTGGAGATGGTCTAAGATGACTTATATATATTTGATTAGCGTACCCACAACTCACCATGTAGGGATGATATGAAAAATTAATTAAAATTTAATTTTTTAACTTATTTTAACTTTTATAAAAAATAATATGATTCAAAATAAATTAAAAAGTTAGAAGCTAAATTAAGTGGCTCTTTCCAAATTGCCCCATATTATTATATAATATGTATGGACAAAATAGTTGATGGCATTTTGGTTGCAACTTGCAAGTGATTTTACATAAAGAGGTGCAAACTACGTCATCATGTTTTGTTTTTTTGGTAGAATGGTGGAATCAAATTCCACATAAATCAAAGAGGGTGGAGATTTTTTAAAAATATTCACTGCATTCAAATTTTATTTTTTATTTTTTTTGAAATTTCAGAATTTGTTTACAGATAATTTTTTTTTAAATTTAGTTTTGTGAAAAAAAGTAAAAAAACAAAAAAAGTGTTAATACTCATTATTTTCATATAATTTTTTCTTTTTAAAAATCCAACTAAATAGAAAGAGTTTTTTTTTTCCTTTTCCTCTCTCTAAAAACTATAATATTACAATGGATGCAGTGGGAATAAAAAATTTAATCCCTCTGTTTGTTTTCATTTTTCGTATTTTTTTGTTTTCATTAATTTTTTTTAATATTTTAATCAATTTTTTTTAATTTTTAGACACACCTAACATAAATATACTTAAAAAGTATAATATTTGTGAAAAAAATCTTTAAAAAATTTACTAAATAGCAAAAATATTAAAAAAATACCAAAATTCAGTACATTTTTTTAAAAATATTTTGTGTATTTATTAATTTTTTAAAATATTTTTTCACAAATAATTTACTATTTAGATACATCTAAATAAGATACATTTAAAAAAATAAAAAAAATTGCATAAAATTAAAAAAATATTTACTAAAAACAAAAAAATACAAAAAATAAAATACTAAATTTTAAAAAAATTAAATTTAAAAAACTAAAACCAAACATACACTAAAATTCTCTAAGAACTGCCCAGAGTGATCTAACTTACTTTTTAACTCCAATGAGAAAGTCAATATAGATAAGTGAACAACATTTTTTTCAAGTAAGTAATAATTACATATAAATTCTTAGATATACCATCTTAAATGATTGTATTCACAGCTCTCTCATGATGGTTCACAATGTGAACAATATTATATTTTATAAATATAATAATAACATTAAAAAAATATCTTACATAAATATTTGGAATAGATTGACTTAAATAACATACATTTATTTTATATTTTCATTTTACTTCTACAAAAATTATAAATACACTTCCAAAAATTTTAAACACAACCTAAACTTGGAACTTAAAAATTGAGTTTTATGAATTAAGTTTTTTGAAAATTGAGTTTTTTAGTTTTTGTATTTTTTTTTATTTTTAGTGAATATTTTTAAAATTTAAACATTTTTTTTATTTTTTTAGATACACCTTACTTAGATGTATCTAAAAAGTAAAAAATTTGTGAAAAAATATTTTTAAAAATTAATAAATACATAAAAATACAAAAAATGTACTGAATTATTATATTTTTTTTTGTATTTTTAGTATCTGGTGAATTTTTAAAAGGTTTTTTTCAATTTTTTTTTTACTTTTTAAGTATATTTATGTTAGGTATGTCTAAAAATTAAAAAAATTGCTCAAAATATTAAAAAAATTTAGTAAAAACAAAAAAAATACGAAAAATAAAAAAATAAAATTTTCTGAAAAATATTTTTAAAAAGTGGTAACCAAGCATATACTATTTTCAATATGCACTCAATGACAAATTTTGGAGTGCAACAATTATCAAAAAAGGGGGTGCAAATAGTACTCCCCTTTAAGTTTAGGGCTATTTATGCAAAAATATTATCTAAGGAGGAATAGAATGTAAGAGCATCTATAAAAGTTTCTTTAAAATATGTTTGTTAATTATTATAACTAGTTTTATGTTATTTTATTTATTCCAACGGACTAACTAGTATAAGAGTTATTTTAATAATGTTTTTGCAAATTAGTTACATTTAAAGCGGATTAAAAAGCTTTTTAAATTAGTTTGTGTGAATAAATATGTAAAATAAAAAGTAGCATAAGAACACATAAATAAAAAATTAATTACATAGAATAAAAACATACTGTTTTCATACTTTAATTAGTAAAAAAAATAAAGAATAACATTCAGTGTGTTTGGTTTTAATTTTCTGGATTCAATTTTCTAAAAATTGAGTTTTTTTTATTTATTTTATTTTTTCTTTTTAGTGAATATTTTTAAAATTTTAAGCAATTTTTTAAAAACTTTTTTAGAGGCACATTACTTAAATTTGTAAAAAAAAGTATTTTAAAAAATCAAGAAATATACAAGAATATGAAAAATATACTGAATTATCATTTTTTTAATATATTTTTGATATTTAGTAAATTTTCTAAAGATTTTTTCACAAATATTATACTTTTTAAGTGTATTTTTGTTAGGTGTGTCTAAAATTTTAAAAAAATGCTTAAAATATTAAAAAAGTTTAATAAAAATAAAAAAATACAAAATTTTAATTTTCTAAAAAGTAAATTCTTAAAATAGAAACCAAACAAAATAGAAAACAAACAAACTGATTAGAGTTGCTCTCAAACCATAAAACATAAGAATCTCTTCTTGATCTCTCCTTAACCCTCTTCTTAATCTCTCCTTAACTTTTTATTTGTTAGGTCATTGGACCTACTTTTGGACCCAATTTTGATGATCCGCACCGTTCACATTTTTAGATTTATTGAGTATATAATACCTGTAAAAAATAAAATTTATCGGATATCAGAAAGCATGTGTTTTGATCATCGAACTACAAATTATTTTTTTTAAAAATTAATAAATAGTTTTCTGAACACATACTTTCTGATATCCGCTCAACTTAATTTTTTATAGGTATGATAAACTTAACAAATATTAAAATATGAATGATTTGTATTATTGAAATTAGATCAAAAAATAAGCCTAATAACCTAACAAGTAAGAAGTTAAGGAGAGAAATTAAGAAGATGAGGTTAATTCAAAACATAAGGGGGTATGCTGCCAATAACATAGTGCTCTTTTGGAAAACCGGTAAAAAGTCAATTTTTAATTTTTTATCAATTTTAAGTCACACTATCTCTCATATAATTTATTCATAAAAAGATTAAAATAAATTAAAAAAATTAATTTTTTACCAACTTTTTAAAATACTACATAAAAAGATGAGTTCTTCCACAGAAAATCATAAGCATAAAAAAGAAAGTAAAAAAATATTAAAATTATAAAAAAAAAAATTATAAAGAAAACCCCCCAATAATGGAGGAGAAGTGTGGCGAGCCTTTGGATTTTGCAGATGGGGTAGAGAGAGAGAGAGAAGCATGGAGAATCCCAATGCAGAGGTAGAAAGAGAAAGAGAGAGACAAACACACACACACACACCTCACACAGCTCACTTGCAGAGACAGACAGCTGAGTGTGTATGGTGTGGACTCTCTGCTCTTCTTGTCACTCAATTCATCTCCAAACAATTACAATTACTGCATTACAATTAACTGTACCAATTCTCTCTCTCTCTCTCTCTCTCTAAAACTTATACTCCTATAATCTTTGATTCTCTCTCCAAACCCCCCAATCTGAAGAAAGATTCCATCTTTAAATTCTCTCTTTCAGACCTCAGATCGCATGACAGAGGATCAAACCCTAATGTCAGAGGACGACGAGAGAGCCTCGCCGTCTGATCTCGGCGGCGACATCAAGTCCCGCGGTTGCGCCGTCGCCGGAGAATACGTGTCTCCGTTCCCAGATCAAGTCCTCGAGAACGTTCTAGAAAACGTACTGCTCTTCTTGACCTCTCGACGAGACCGCAACGCGGTGTCGCTGGTGTGCAAGTCGTGGAACCGTGCGGAGGCGCTCACCCGATCGGAGCTCTTCATCGGGAACTGCTACGCGGTGGCGCCCCACCGCGTGACGGAGCGCTTCCGGCAAGTGAGGGCGGTGACGCTGAAGGGGAAGCCGAGGTTCGCGGATTTCAACCTCATGCCTCACAATTGGGGTGCGCACTTCGCCCCCTGGGTCACCGCCATGGGTTCCCACTATCGTGCGCTCGAGAAGCTCTGTCTCAAGCGCATGTCTGTCAAGGACGAAGATCTGGAGCTTCTGGCTGATTCGTTTCCCTATTTCAAAGAGCTCGTGCTTGTCTGTTGCGATGGCTTCGGTACCAGTGGTCTCGCTGTGATTGCCAACAAGTGCAGGTTAGTGTAAATATTTAGGGGTTTTTGTTCTCTATATCAATGGCTCTAATTCTAGATCTGTTTTGGTAATTTGTAATTAGATGTTCTTGATTTGATACATATATATATTGACAGAGATCTTTGAACGATTTGAAAAGGGTTTGGGTCAATTTTGCCTTTTGATCTGTTATTGTTTTGTATGAAGTTCTATGACGTTATCTGAACCCTGAACTATACATTGTGGGTTTGCTTGGCTCTAATTGAATCCCCAACTGAAAGAGGTGTGAATTTACAGTGGAAAATTATTATGTGATTACCACATATATGCCTCTCATGATATGATTTTTATCTCAGGCAACTTCGAGTGCTTGATCTGATTGAGGATGAGGTTACGGATGATGAAATCGATTGGATTTCTTGTTTCCCAGAGGGTGAAACTTGTCTGGAGTCTTTCATTTTCGACTGTGTGGAATGCCCAATAGATTTTGAGGCATTGGAACAGCTGGTGGCGAGATCTCCGTCGTTGAAGAAACTTAGGTTGAACCGGTTCGTTAACATTGGGCAGCTTTACAGGCTGATGATCCGAGCTCCACAGCTCACACATCTTGGTACTGGGTCATTTAGCCCTTCGGAGATTGCTGCTCAAGGTGATCATCAGGAGCTAGATTATGTCTCCGCCTTTGCTGCTTGCAAATCGCTAGTTTGCCTCTCGGGTTTTAGGGAAATTATACCCGATTATCTGCCTGCAATCTACCCAGTTTGTGCTAATCTCACCTCACTAAATTTTAGCTATGCCAACATCAATGCAGAACAACTTAAATCAGTCATATGCCATTGCCATAAACTCCAGATCTTTTGGGTATGTGATTGGTTTGTTCATGGGTTTTAATTAATTTTGTTATTTAGTTTCAATCATGAAGTGCACATTCTATATCTGCAGGTGCTCGATTCGGTGTGTGATGAAGGACTTCAGGCGGTGGCTGCAACATGTAAGGATCTCCGTGAGCTTCGGGTTTTCCCTATTGATGCCAGCGAGGATAGTGAGGGCCCCGTTTCTGATGTGGGTCTCCGTGCAATTTCTGAGGGGTGTAATAAGCTGCAATCGATTTTATATTTCTGCCAGCGAATGACAAATGCAGCAGTGATAGCCATGTCAAACAACTGTCCGGATCTTGTGGTGTTCCGTCTCTGTATAATGGGGCGACATCGACCTGACCACATTACCGAAGAGCCAATGGATGAGGGTTTTGGAGCCATTGTCAAGAACTGTAAGAAACTTACCCGACTCGCTGTATCTGGTTTACTAACTGATAAGGCTTTCAGTTACATTGGAGAATATGGGAAACTGGTTAGGACTTTGTCGGTTGCTTTTGCTGGAGACAGCGATACGGGGCTAAAATATGTGCTCGAGGGCTGCTCGATGTTGCAGAAACTTGAAATCAGAGACAGCCCATTCGGAGATTCAGCTTTGCATTCTGGTTTGCACCACTATTACAACATGAGATTTCTTTGGATGTCTTCATGTAGATTAACTCGTCAAGGTTGCAAGGAGATTGCTCAGCAATTGCCACGCCTGGTAGTGGAAGTTATCAACGGGGATGGGGAGGTAGAGGTGAAAGATGATTATGTCGACATATTATACATGTATAGATCCCTTGAAGGGCCGAGGTCTGATCCACCAATATCTGTGACAATCTTGTAAACTTTCAACATTGGAAAACACTCAACCTCTCTTTACAGTGGCTTCTGAGGAAGTTATATTACTAGTTTTTTTGTGGGTTGCTGTCATAACCTGCAAGTTCATGTACTCGTTGAACAGAGACAAGAATGCCCCTCATGTTCTTGGTTTGAGCTGTTGGAGATTTGGAATGGCATTCAAAGCAGGGGCTCTGTCAAGGATATGTATACTTTGTGCTTTGGTTCTTCTGGGTGGTTTATGGAAGTGTGCTTAATGAACGTATCTCTGCAGGGATCGGACCATCCCTATGTTGTCATCGTTGTGTTGGTAGGCATTTAAATTTTTGTATGTTTTTTTCTGCTTTCATATTCATTTCTGAAATGAAGGCTTCTAGAGGTAACAGTTAGCAAGGGATGGATCATTGAGAGCTGCGCGCAAAGATTGATTAGATTTCTGTTATATATACAACAATGGATCAAATTGGTTGGGAGTCCTCAAGATGGGAGATTGAGAGACACTGAAATTTCTCTTTTCAGTAGAATTGAGTCTTGCTTATTCTTGTTCAAAAATTTCAGTTTTTTAGACTTTGAAGCTCTGTAGTTGGTGAGAACTAATGCCTCAGAGAATGGTTACATCTTTCTCTCTTACCCGACTGTTGAATTTATTAGTATTGTTTTTGTGAGCAAATGTTCAGATGGGAAATAAATGCCAAACATATGCATACATATGATATGGGCCAGATGCTAGTGGGAGGGAGGAGTATCTTGCCCCTCTCTCTCTCTCTCTTTTTTTTTTTGTTATTTTATTATTAATCTTATTTTCAAATTTTCTGAATGAAGAATGATCTGTTTGGTAGTGATGGAGCCCACTGATGAAGTATGGAAAGTATTGGACAAGTACACCTTTCAAGGTCCCCCATTCATGAGACTTCTGTGTTTTTCAACCCAGTGGATGGTCCTGATTGATTCCATCTCACATGCATCTTTTAGTGAACTCTCTCTACAGAGGAAACAGAATAGTATACAAGTCCATGATATACCTTTACAATGATTTGTTGCTGGATCTATATTTTTGGTTACAGCTGGGCTTTTTAGCCTACAATGTTACTACCTACCATTATTTGTTATTTGTTATTCAGTAATGCTACCTTTTAATATTTTACAATAATATTATAAATTCAGATTTAACTATCTAAAAATTATTTGAAATTATCATTTAATGGTTTAGATTTATTCTATATGTAGATCTCATAATTTATAAATTCAATCTCAATCACACAATCACTATTTTGGGTCAATGAGGACCATATTTAACTAGTTTGGTCCCAGATTTATTCATATATATATATATATATTTAGAAAATGCTCAGAGTTTAAAATATGAATTTCTTCTGGGTATGATTTAAATTTTGAATTTTTTTAAATATATATTTTTCTGATTGTGTGAAGTATGTCTAATATATCCCTTTTCCTTCCTTTTCCTAGTGTATTCTCATGCTCAACTTGGCTCAACTCAGTTAGCTAGCTGTGCACTCCTTTGGAAAATTGGGTTGGGATGAGTTAGAATTAAAATAGTCATAAAAAAATAGATTTTTTAGTTTCAAGTTACAAAATATCATATTCAAATAATCATTATTCTATTTTTTCTTTTAAAAATGTCAAAAAATCATTTAAAACGAGATTTTTAACCTCAAATTAAAATAATTAAAAAATCAATTCACATTCCAAATAAATTTTAGATTTTTGGACTCACTCATATCTCGTTTGGGGAGAGATTAAAAATAACTAAAAAAATTATTACAAGTTAAATTAATTTATAAAAAGTCAAAAAATTATTAAAAAAAATTAATTTCCAAATGAGTCGTCTGTAAAGGAGCTGAACTCGGTACATTTGTTATTTATTTAAATAATAAGGCATTTTTTATATATTAAATAATATAAATTATGAGCTTGATTATTAAGTTTCAAATAATCATTATTCTATTTTTTCTTTTAAAAATGTCAAAAAATCATTTAAAACGAGATTTTTAATCTCAAATTAAAATAGTTAAAAAATCAATTCACATTCCAAATAAATTTTAGATTGTTGGACTCACTCATATCTCGTTTGGGGAGAGATTAAAAATAACTAAAAAAATTATTACAAGTTAAATTAATTTATAAAAAGTCAAAAAATTATTAAAAAAAATTAATTTCCAAATGAGTCGTCTGTAAAGGAGCTGAACTCGGTACATTTGTTATTTATTTAAATAATAAGGCATTTTTTATATATTAAATAATATAAATTATGAGCTTGATTATTAAGTTATTTATTAGTAGATTGGAACTAAAGTTTCAGTATAATATTGATATTTAAGCTCAAATATTAGATTCATTTTTTAAATTTAATGATGTGTTAATTAATTAAAATATCTAAGGTGACAATCTAATAATTTTTTTCTAAATTATCAACTAATCATTTTATTTACACATCACTAAAGTCTACTAATGTGAATTTATATATCATTTTTCTTAATATAAATAAAATGAATTCAAGTTTAACGTTCCACTTGTTTGGACGAAAAATATTTTTTAAAAAATATATATTTTTATTTTTAATAGTTGGTGTAATAAAAAATAAAAGTCAACAGAAAATATTTTTCATGATCAATAAAAAAAAATCTATATGGATAATCACTTTTAAAAAGTAAAAATATTTTCTGAACTAAAATCTTATTAATGTCGCTTCTACCATCATAAAATTATCACCGTCGCTATCCAACCACCATGCCATTGCCTCCATCGCCACCTTTATTTTACCACCACTACCAGCACTAGTAAAAAAATATTTTCCGTATAAATAAACGCAGCGTAATTAGGGTTGTTTTGGGAAGTTGGTTAAAAGTGACTTTTTGGCTTTTAACCAAGTTTTTAGCTTTTTTAGACAAATGATTTGGGAAGTTGGTAAAAAGTGACTTTTGAATTTTTTGATTAATATTTGTTTATGATGTCAAATCATAATAAAATGACTAAACTACCCCCATTTATTTAAAATATTTACAACTGAACCTATGTAACACATTGTGACCCATGAGGGGTAAAATTGTAATTGCACCGTTGGCTAAAAATCAACTTGCTAAATGAAAAAAAAACCAAAAAAGTCAACTTTTGACTTTTACTACTAACCAAAAAAAATGACTTTTAGCCAAGTTCCCAAAATAGCCCTTAGAACTCCACTCGGTTTGGACCCTTCCTCTCTATTTGCGAGAGTGGGATCATTTGATGATTTGTCAGTCCCCCTTTGTTTGCGTTATGAAGGAGCCAACTCCTCTCTCTCTCTCTCTCTCTCTCTCTCTCTCTCTCTCTCTCTCTCTCTATATATATATATATACATATACTAGTATAATTAGTAATTGACCCTACAATGTACGTATTTTTTTTCCAAAAAATATTTCATGACAATGTATGTTATAAAAAAATAATTTTAATTTTAATTTTAATTATTTATTTTGATAATATTAATGCTATCGTTCTATAAAACTATTACTTGAATACTTATATATATTAATTTTAGTTAAATTATTTGTGTATTTTGATCATTTTAATTCTATTGTATTGTAAAAGTGTAATTATCATATAATAATTTTGTATGACATATATTCAATTATAAAATAGTAAAATAAATACTCATTTTGATATTAAAAATAATAGTTAAATTAGAAGAAGAGTTAGTAACATAAAATTAAAAGTAATTCTAATTATTTAATTTTCTTTTATATTTATTTGGAAAATAAAAATATGTAGAAACAGAAATTATATAAAATTTATTGAAAAAATTATCATATAATGATTTTATATGATATATGTATATTAAATTATAATATTGTAAAATAAACACTCGTAATTAAATTAAAATATCAACTATATAAAAAAAAATTAATAACAACTAACTAAGAAAGAATCACATAATAATATCTAAACCCAAAAAGAAGAAATAATGAAAACATCCACACAATAGATACATCTCAATGTATGAATTGATTAATCATCTGTAATATGATGGCAAAACATAAAAAAATTTACTATTCAACAATTCAAAAAGTAACTTAAGTAGTAAATCTAAACTTTAGAAGAGAGTATCATTGCTGTGCATATTTTTCCTCCTGTGAGTTGTGATTATATAAAATAATGTAGGAAAAAAAGTATAATTCATACTACATAGAATCACCATAAAATTTAAACAACAAAATTCATAATATAGAATAATATGAAATTGGTATTGGGTATAGAATAATGCACGTGGGAGGCAAAAAAAAAAAGAAAAAAAAAAGAGACAATTTAACATTTAAAAAAAATATCATAATACCCTTGAAAGAATTAAGAAGAAAAACGTCAAATGCAAAATTAGTATTGAATTTGTGAATTATCTCAATTTATTTATCATAAAAATATATAAAAAAGAAATATTTGTCAAATAGAATACATATAAAATAGGTAAAGTTAGTATAATTTAAATTAAGTTTGGGTTTATGTAATTAACAAAATATATGAAGGCGTGGCTTTCTTAGAACAAAAAAGTAAGCCCTTATAATGTGTCACTTAAATATGAAAAAAAAAAAGACTTTTAATAATATATATGATTACCCGTGCTATACACGGATATTAAAAAAAATTTTAAAAAAAAATTTAAAATTAAATAATAATATAAAAAATTTATCTATAATATTTAGCAAAAATAATTTAGAACCAATTAAATTTTTTTTTTTATTCTTATATCATTAATTGTGTGCTCTAAGTTTTTAATAATAAATACATGTCATAATTTAATTAGTAAAAATTAAAAAATAAATCACAAAAATTAGGATAAATTATACAAATAGTCTTTGCAGTTTACACGATGTGTCAATTTGGTCCTGTTGTTTCAATTTGCTCAATATTGCCTTTTAATTTAACGGATTGCGTCATTTTAGTCTAATAAATAATAATCGTTAAGTTTGGTGGACGGAAAGTCAAACTATGTGTCAATTTGGTCTCTGTTGTTTACACAATGTGTCAATTTGGTCCCTGTTAAAATCGAGTAAATTAAAACAACAGGGACCAAATTGACACATTGTGTAGACTTTCTGCCCACCAAACTTAACAACTGTTATTTATTGGACTAAAATGACACAATCTGTTAAATTAAGGGGCAAAATCGAGCAAATTGAAATAACATGGACCAAATTGACACATCGTGTAAACTACAAGTACCATTTACATAATTTATCCAAAAAATATATTTATAATAAAATATAAATATATTTCGTCTTATAAGTTTCGTAAATTTAATTTGTCATATGATAGTAGTAAATTATATTTGTCTATATATTAATTTTTTCATGTTTTGTAAAATATAAAAATTTATCTAGCATCAAAATTAAAATTTGTCTTATGTTATAAGATTTACGTAAAAATGGATTAAGATTCAATTATGATATTAAATTTGGGTTTCACATTAGATTTATGCCAATTTATCCTTCACCTAATTATTAAAAATTGTTTTGGTCTATTCTCAACTTTTATATGAATTGTGGGGATGTATTTTCTGAATACCAACACGTGGCAAGGTGACGCCGACGTGTCAGTCGAGGTGCCACGTGTCCTGGTTGTGACCCCGAGGTTATCTCGGCAAGGCCGATGTTAGCTCCGAAGATATCGGAATCCGAGATAAATGGATAAAAGATAAGGGACAAAAGTCTTAGAGTAAAAAGGGAACTTTGCT